ATTCACTTTTTAAAAAATAAAAAACGGAAAAATAAATTTCAAAATTTTTTATTTTATTTTTGCGCGACGAAATGAATTGCGACTAATGGATTTTTGTCGCATCAATCACTTCGTCGCGCAAATGTTTGAGGCACGAAGTATTTCCTCGTCCCTACATTTTAATGCGACACACGGCCACCGTCGCGCTGTGTTGTTACGACGAAGGTTTAATAGTCGTGCAAAGTTTTGCGCGACGACAAACTGTCTCATCCCGAAAATTTTTGTGGGACGAAAGTCAACCGTCGCTCAAGTTTTTGCGACCAAGCAACATTATTTGTCGCGCAAAGTCTTTCTTCACGATCTTTGCGCGACGGATTATGCGCGACGAAGTTTCTGTCCCGCTAAATGTTGTGCGACTGAAATCCTTTTTGCTCGACGAAATTGACTTCGTCGCGCAAATAGTAAAATGTCGTAGTGCTTGATTTTCCATTATGATTTATAGGGTTTGATCTTTTAATTTGATTAAACCGTAACAGTGTTCATGATCTATTGTGACCTCGATTAAATTTCTTTGATCAAACGGTTAGTGCATTTTTTGACGTTGGTTGAATGTTTAATAATATCATATATTATGAATGGTATCCCAACAGAATATTTGTATTCATGTGCACTGTAACTAGCAATTGTACATATGAATCAATATCCGTTTTGTGATAGTAGTTTGCTTATGAATGAGTGTTTATGGATGAATACAATTGCACGTAAGGGTTCTATGATCTGCATATATGGCTATGTCGAAATCTTTTTATTGTGTTTTCATTAATGAATTCATACAAAGGTACGAATTAATTTGGATGTCTATAATGAGTGAAAATAGAAATTGTTTTATTTTTATATTAAAGTACACATACAGAGCAATGCAGAGGATAATTTTTCCCTCTTGATTTCCATATAATTGTAAGCATATGAACGAGACATAGATTATTGTCTATTATATAGGGAGGAGAATTTCGAGTTTGCAAAATGCATTTGCTATTATGAATTGGAGTGCTAATGGCTATGCATTTACTTGGCTATATGATTATTTTCAAATTGAAGAACGAATCTGTCAACTGGCAAATTATGATGCTGACAGGAAGAAATAATACCAGTTTTATTGTCAATTTATATTATAATGCGGAAATATTAACGAATTGATGTATTATTAAATATATGATCCCTTATGAACTCATGGTATGATCCTGGTGTAGACATGTACATATTGTATTTCATTGTCACTGTATTTTGTTCAAGCTTTACTTAGCTACAAAGCAACTACAAAATCTCCTAACTACCTGAAGAATAACCCACGGGATTATTACAACAACTAACGTAACTAATACACGTGACTAACTAACGACACGTCAGCTTAACCTCTCTCTTTACTATTAGCCGAACACTAGAATTATTAATATATACTTTGAATCAGTTATGCATCTTGTAAAGCCTATGAAGAGTTATCAAACGGTTATATATATATATAAGGAGGAAATAAAAATAGATTTCAGATTAATAAACACCAACAGCTCCACAGAATCTTTATTTATTACATAGCATCCAAACTGATCATTCTGACTCACTCTTAACAAATTCTAACAGAAATAAATTAAGGCAAACACTGGCTAGCTCACTAGCCGAACACAACCTGCTAGTCCTCCTTAAACACATTCTTCATCGCTAAATAGATGGTTTACATTAGCAATCCGGTGTATTCTCCTCAGAATTTTTTGGTACGGTGATGTGCTCTCGAACTATCCACCAAACTATCAATCACGTTCCTGAGGCTTTTTGGGATCTTATGCTTGAACCTGCCCCACAACTTCCTCGCCAACCAAATGATAAGACGAATGGTGTGGATTGCAGCTATGATCCCAAGCCATGTAGCCCAAACCACAATGGATATCTTGGATATCTTTTCATATGATTTGTAAATTTCAGTATCAGGGAACACTAAGATGAGAGCATGTATATAGGTGAGTGCCATAGAAGTGAGAGTGAGACACATGGCCATTGATAAAAGCCACATAATTACACGATTCCGGAGGGGAAATCCGCCAACAAGCAAAAGGGTGACACTGAGAGAAGCAATAAACGAGACGGTATTGAATATTACGAACAAAAAGAAATCGTCTTTTAAAACGGTGGCTACCACTGAACTTCCAGGAAAGCATTTCTCACCATATTCACAAACACCGCCGGGTGGGTTAACTGCAGCTTGGAAAGTTGCAGTTGATATCATGGTTGCCACAACCATCAGCATGCCACGTGAGGCTTCCATCCAAGCTTTTGGGTATTCCACGCCATGTACCAGTCTATTTATCAGACACCAAGCTATCGCTACTGCTTTGTTCTGACTCTGACCAGCAGCGGCAGTAGTTCTTTTTGTTTCCATACCTGGGCCTGGCTCAACCAAAATTTGATCAAGTTCAGGTAGGCTGCTCAAGTCTCTTGGATTTTGTTCTGAGGAATATAACTGGATCACGCCATTTTCTTCTTCTATTGCAGCAGGTATCATCTGCGATGCACAAGTGGTACCATTAATATATTGAAAACTTGAAACCAAGGCATAAGAATCTCGTGCAGTGGTGGATCCATGAAATTTTCAGGGGGGGTGCAATATTTAAAACCCTAAAATTTCAAAAAATAATTTAGACACACAAATGCCTTTAGAATTTAAACAATATTCATGTCATTCAAAATTAAAACAATTACGTCTATTACTAATTGATTATAGTCTATATGGTATATCAATTAATATGAACAAAACCTATGTCAATGCACACAAAGTTTACCAAAATTCATATCAAATATATATGAACAAAATCCATGTCAATTACATAATTAATCTAACAAAAGTCAATACTAATTAATCTGACCAAAATTAATACCAATTAATCTAACCAAAAGCTAGCATGTGGGTTTGGAGGTCACGAGATAAATGTACACACGATTACAAATTCGGGGTAATTTTCGGTGAATTTTTCGATACACATATGAGTTTTTAATGAATTTTTTAAGTTAGTCCAAATAGAAATTGACATGTACCACCTCTCTAATAGAGGTGGAGCCCACCAATACAATGGGACCCACCTCTATTACAAAGGTGGTACACAATGTGGTATGAAAAATGTGGTAAGCCTAGCATTTTCCTATGGTAAATGGCCTATTTTTGTTTTGGGCTAGGTGAATAAGTTTTAAATTTTGTTTTGTTAAAGGTGAATATGAGTAAGCCCATGTGCTATACGAATGACTAACATTTACGTTTTTGTCCTTTTCCTTTTTTTGCACCACTATAAACCCCCACCCACCGCGGACACCAACCGCCACCCGCCAACATCCTGTTCCGTTGCCGACACTAGTCACTGCTGCCACCCATTAACCACCATCTCCAGCCACCACCCACCACCAACTGTCATGTGACAACATTTTGGGGTGTTGGTGGTGTTGATGTCGAAGAATTCGAAGGCATAAAATGTAACGACCCGGTCCTAAATAAATTGGTAATTATTAATTTATTCAAATAAAAGACCATTTTACCCTTAGAATATTTTATTAGGTTTAAAGTTGACTTTTTGACCGGAAAGGAATTTGGGAATTTCGATTGTACCGTTTCATAGACCACGGCGAGATGAGTCCGTAGATATGTAGTGGGTCCGAATCGGAGTTGTAACGAAGAAGATATTATCAAAATACCCTCAGTGGCATAATCGTAATTTTTGCCAAAAGGATTTGATAAATCTGATTCCTCTCTCTCTTTCTCTCTCCTCACAACGGCAGCTCCTCTCTCTTCGAAACTCCTGCCACTAGCCACGGCTGTGGACAGGACCGGTGCCAAAAGGATCGACTCAACCCCGGAGTCACGACCTGGCCCTTCCCCGACATTAGCCGCCGCTCCAGCCGCCGAAAATTGTGGTTTTTAGGCTGGTTTTCCCTTGAAACTTCGCCGGCTCTGATCTCTCTCCTCCGGCTGCCATTTTGGCGATAAAGGTATGGAAATTCATCCATTCTTCATAATCTAGCTGATGGTTGGGTAGGATTGCATCAATTTTGATCCTAGGTTGTCTGATTTTCGAATTGCATCAATTTTGATCCTAGGTTGTCTGATTTTCGAATTGCATCAATATTAAATCCAGTTTTAAAATAAGATACAGTTTACACCAGTATTGGTGTCCCAATATTGACTAAGAATGAAAAATGAACTTTTGAAATACTAATGTTTTTAATAATATTTATGGCGGTTTATATTCCTTTCGTTTTAAATAATTAACCACGATTTTTTGAGATTCTAGTGTGAAGTATATGCATTGACTTATTGATGTATCAATATTGATATAAATTGTATCTTATACTAAAACTGGATTTTTATATTTTGATTTGTTGGGAATTTGAATTTCTAGTATTTTTAATAGAATCCAAATGGGGGGATGAAAATAAGGCAATATAAGGCAATGGGCGGGCCTAGTCAGGCCAGGCCGTGGGCGGGCCGAAGGTTTCAAATCCTAAGCGCAAGCCTTACCCAACCTTAAAATGGATCGGGCCGAGCGGGCCTAATTAACCATTGGATTAGGATAGACTTTGGCCCATCAAGCCACAGGTTACCCACTTTGGCCTGCGAATCACGGGCCAAATGATCATCCCAAATTTAGATCATCCATTCCAGCTTATTTATATCAGCCTCAAGTGCTTTCAATATTTTCTCAATTACTTGTTTCTCCTTTTAGTTCTTTGTTCAATTTCTAGACTACTAAATGTTGTCTTGTACCTAACACACTAAATAAAACAAGGAAGTCCCTTGGGTATGATAGCCAAAACCATCATCATCAATAATATGATAAAAGTAGGTATAGCACAAACTTACCCCATGATATGATGCACTAGTTTCCGAAGTGCTTTCTGAAATGTCAAGAGATGTCATGCCCCTATCATTCAAGATCTTTAAGTTGGTCCTTCTATCGAAAGTGAAAAGGTCCACAACCTTGGGATGATGGTACATCTTTGCCAAGTGCAAAGGAGTATTTCCTCTGTTGTCTTTTTGGTTTATCAACATTTGAAACTCAACCTTCTTGAGAAAATATTTGACAAGATTGTCCTCACCACATCTTGCTGCAACATGGAGTATATTTTGGTCACTTGAGTTCCTCAATTCGATTGAATCGGGACAATGTCGAAGCAGCTCTTTAACAATGTCGACATGACCTTTGCTTGATGCACAATGGATCGGAAAGTTGCCACAATGATCCCTTCGATGAGAATCCATGAGACGTCTGCCTAAGAAGCGAACCCCTTCTAGATAACCAATTGATGCTGCACAATGCAGTGGAGTCCTCCCTTTCTCATCTTTTGAGTTCAAAATATTTGCTTCCATTTTTGATATTATCTTTAGGACTTCTGGCGTCAGTAAATGAATCAAGTATAAATTATAACAATATGATCATAATGATAATGTTTTTCTATGAAGAGGTTGTAATATCTATCAAAATCTATCACACTGGTCACTGTGACAGAAAAAAAAATAACATTAATATAGGGCCTAGCAATTCAAAAACTCTAGACCACAACCCACCAATAATAAAACCTTTAAATGAAACCTAATTTTAAAATTAGATGCCGTGGAGGATAAAATGTATCCATGTAATTTGATTTATTTACCAATTATGCCATTAAATTACTCTTCAATTGCTGACAGTTTTTTAAGCCCCTAATATTAAGCAATGGAATAATGAGCTCGTGTGAAGGGAAATTTTACCTAATATCCGCTAATTATGTATATAAAAATTATTGTGGGTGGTGGTGCTCTTCACTGAAGGAAATAATCGCACCACTTAGATATTCCACATGTGACATATCTAATACATATTTATAAAGAAAAAAGGTACATTATTTATGAAAAAATAGGTACATTAGATAATAAAGTAGAAACGTTACTATTGAAATAGTTCTATAAAACAAATAGGTACATTATTTATGAAAAACTTTAGGCACATTATTTTATGAGAAATATAGGTACATTATTTATGAAAAAATAGACACATTATTGTATAAAAAATAGGTACATTATTTAAGAACAAATAGGCATGCTAAGAATTAATCACCTTAGTTTACTAAGAATTAATTACCTTAGTTTGTTGTATTTTAATGTACCTAGAAATTCTAGGTTATTTAATTTCAAACCATTCAAATTATTAAAACCTGGAGTTTTTTATATAAAAATTATCTGACCAATAATAATTTAAAATTTAAATAAAAGAATTATTATTTCAATGTACGAACCTTTTTTCTGGCGGCCTAGAATTGCGGCAATCAATGGGGACTTGCCTTGAATTTCTGTGTTCTTCTCAATTGCTGTTTCTTTTATTAGCTTCACGATCACAACAAGCCCTTGTTCAGCGGCCAGATACAAAGGGCACTTTTGTTCCTTATTAGTGTAAAGTGAAATGGTAGGATCGGCCTCTATCAAACACTTGGCTACTGATTGGTGACCTCGAATTAGGGCCTCGTGCAGGGCAGTATTTTCCTCATTATTTTTCATCCTCAGCAATGTCAATACATCACCATTATTTTCAAAGTCTGTCGTTCCTCGTGCTTCGCGGAGAAGAGTATTTATTGTCATATCTATATCCCCGGATTTGGCCGCAATGTGGAGCGCGGTGTCACCTTCAAAGTTTTTCTCTAACAAAAGGGGCTTGTGTTGTTGTAAGATCTCAGCTGCTAGTTCGGCATGGGCGGAGCTCACAGCTATGTGAACAAATGTGTTATTCTGGGGGCTCCGTCGAGACAACAACTGCACGCGAGTATTGGGATCCTGAAGCTTCTTTTCAATAGTGTCGTGAAATTTATTTGTATTGCCATGAGTAGCATAGCTGTATAGCTGCTGGTACAAGTCCAAGTTATCAGCATAACCATCTGTTTCTTCAAAGTCCTGTGTTCGATGATGAGCTTCCATTTCCTGTGATGGTAGTTCCGTTACAGTCTGTACCTCCCTATTAGTTAACGGCTCCATATATGGACTTCAACGTTGCTTTAGATTTTGATCTGCACAACGTTGCGGAGATCAATTAATGAGTGACTATGAGTGCCCTCTTAATTATATCAACTTCAATATATATATATATATATGGGCTTGTCCAATATAGGTCCCTACAATTTCTATTTTATAGACATATACCCATCATTCTATAAATCTATGTGTAAAATTCAATTTCAAACTTAAATTACCAGTAGGATATAAGAGGTCGCAGTATTCCTATATTTTTACATCCTTGCCATCAGACTTCATATTTTATATATAATTTATTTCAAGCATTTCATTAACTGCCAATAGCATATCAATCACCCCATTTCTTTTGGTTGCCATTCCCTCTAACATATGACCCCTTAAAATTACAAATAAAAAAAATATGTAAATTACATATCCAATAATGTATATATGAAAAATATAAATATAAATATATACGTATAAAAATATAGGTATATTATTCATTATTTAAGAAAAGAAAGGAAAGGAAAGGACGGATAATATGTGGGATCTACCTAAATTTGAAATTTCTGCACGTTTTTCATAAATTAAAATAGGTACACAATAGTTTATAGAAAATAGGTACGTTGTATAATTGAAATTTATGCACATTTTTTATGAATTAAAAATAGGTACATTATTTAGAAAGAAAAAAAAAGTTCATTATACTAGGTAAATTATTTTACTAGGTATACATTATTAGAGAAAAAAAGGTGTACATTATTTAGAGAAAAAATAGGTTCATTATACTAGGTAAATAGTTTTACTAGGTACATTATTAGAGAAAAAAATAGGTACATTATTTTGAGAGAAAAATAGGTACATTATTTTGAGAGAAAAAATAGGTACATTATTTAGGAAAAAAAAATAGGTACATTATTAGAGAAAAAAAAAAGGTTCTTTATACTAGGTAAATTGTTTTACTAGGTACATTATTAGAGGAAAAAAAAATAGGTACATTATTTTTTTCACTGCTCCATCAAGGTGATCCAGCACATTGATTGCTTTACCTTTTAAATCTCCTTTGCCGTTTCTTATTTTTCATAAAACAAGTAATAAAGAAAAAAAATAGGTACAATATTTGGAGAAAAAATAGGTTCATTAAAAAAAATGTTTTAAAAATAAAACAATAAATAGATTATCAAATTATTTTTTAACATAATTAGAATGTACACTATTATCCATAAAACTATAATAAAAAAGAATACTGGTCGTATAATTTATAAAAAGAAAACAACATTAATTCCTAAATTTAATATTGAATTTAAATTATTAATACTTTAAATAGATTAATAGTCGTAATTCATAGAAGGAAAACACAGCTAATTCAAAAATAGATTACTAATACTTTAATGTGGAATTTAATATTTAATTTCAAATAAGTTTCTAAATTAGTTCATACATCCATTACAACTATTTGGAGATATTTCCAAATTCAACAGGTGTCATTAGTTTATTACCCCCCCCAAAACACAATAACTTATAAATAAATGTAGTTTTGGAATCTGAAAAATATAATAAATCAGATTTTAAGTCATATTAGGTAACTTGCTTAGTTAGATCCTAGTCATCGGGTATTATTTGAAAAAATTGAGTATTTTAAATAGAAAACTAAAGGAAAGGGTTGTAGGTGATTTTAAATGAATTTTATGGGTCTAAGTTCAATTTACTAATATATATATATATATATATGATTACAGATAATTAAGCAATTAGATACAATCAAGGTCTGAACGCCGAAAAATGAGTTAGGAGGAACCCAGGAGAGAGAGAGGGAGAAGAATAGCTCGCTTCACTTCAAATGAATACAGTACTAGTTCTACACAACAACTCAATATGTCGCTTGGGAAACCCTAAACTGCATTATTTGTTAGAAAACTAGTAACTACTGCAGGAAGCCCACCAGGTCTAGCAAAACCAACTAGGTCCTTGTGAAAGTGATGCTCAGCCGTTGCATCTCTAAAAAGAATGGACGGGTGATGTTGGATTAGCAAAACCACCTAGTTAAAATGATTACTAACATGAATCGCTGGCAACCAAAACAACGAGAAAATTAATCAATGACCCTAATTACCTGAAAGGATAAAAACTTGGAGAATTAATTGCCAACAAAACTGATATAAAAGGGTGTCTGACAAGTAGTGAACGCCAAAAGAGGTGGTCCCAATTTGTTGGTCAGGTCGACAATGTAAACGTATAATTTGTAATGAATGTTGTTATTTCCACCCAATATTCTATTTCCATATCCACCTTATTTGTAGAATTTTAAAGACAAATTTATGTCATAACCCTACACGGGATATGTACTATGGAAATCAACAGACGTGGCTAAAAGGTATGGTGGCGGGCAAGCTCCAAAAGTAATAATCACTGACCATGACAAATCGAAAAAATCAGTTGTCATAGAGATGTTTCCAAATGCTTATCATTGTTTTTGTTTGTGGCGTATGTTGGGTGGTGGGCAAGTTCCAAAAGTAATAATCACTGACCATGACAAATCGAAAAAATCAGTTATCTTAGAGATGTTTCCAAATGCTCATCATTGTTTTTGTTTGTGGCATATGTTGGGGAAGATTTCTGAAAATCTTGGCCATGTAATTAAACGGCGTGAAAATTTTATGGCCCTAAACCCTATTGAAGACCATCGTCAAAATAGAAGTATGGGCAAGTAAAATAAAAAAAATATTCCAATCCTATGGAAAGTAAGGTCATTTTCAAGTGGGGAGGGCTGTATTTAGGCCCCTAATAAATAATTTTATAAGGAGTAGTGTGAGGTTAATTACATTTTAACCGTCTCCAGTTTAACCGTCTCCAGTAACAAATGGCTAAATTTAATATTTTAATAGTTTTAGTATATTATGTAAATTTATTAGTTAATTTAATTAAACTACTATTTATATCATATTTAAAATACATTTTAGAAGAGAAAAATATTTTGGGATAGAAGTTTTGGAATTCACGTGTCGGCATGTGATTAGCCCTATAGATTTCTGATTATATTCTTTTCTTGTTTTAGTACGTCTTTGTCTTGTTTTAAAAACAACTTAAAAATTAATTTAAATGGAAAAAGATGAAGGATAGTTTGTAAAAAAATAAAGAGAATGTGAGAAATTATGTAAAAATATGAAATTGATGAAGGATTATATGTAAAATGATGAAGATGTTGTGAGAAATTATGTAAGAATGAGGTAGATATTTATAAAAAAAAATTTAGGAATTTTTTAGAATTTCTTTTCTAAAAATCTTGACATGACCTTTGCTTGATGCTAAATGGATTGGAAAGATGCCACGATGATCCACTTGATGAGAATCGGATCGGTGTCTTTCTACAAAGAAACGAACCCCTTCCAGATTACCAATTGATGCTGCACAATGTATGTTTCCCGTGGCCTAGAATTGCACCGTGCAATGAGGACTTGCCACTGACAGGAAATTTTTTCCTCACTTGTTTTTTCTTGCATTAGCTTAACAATCCCAGCAAACCCTTCCTCAGCGGCCAGATACAAAGAGGACTTTCCTTCCGTATTACAATCAAAATGAATGAAACGATGGGCCTCTATCAAACACCTTGCTAAAGAGGTCTGGTAAGATCTGAATTTTTTGTTGCTTCTTGCCATAAACTGTTGCAGATATAGGGCTTTTTATAACAGAACAAGAACATCCTAGAATATGGGAGTAAATGCTAACCACCAACCAACTACTATCTAACATAGAAACTTAATTACCAGCTGCTATCTTAAACACGACACGAGGAATGATAATCAAAATAGCTCAAAAGCGATTGTTATCATAATCCCCGGCATTGTCCACTCTAAGCATTACACGTATTTGAGAAAATCAAGAAAATTCAAACCAAGTGAATTTTCTTACTTTTCCAATTTCAACCCTTTGAGCCCGCTTATTGAATGCCCACATTCTCTCACTTAGGAATTTTTCTCTCTCTGAACCTAAACCAGACCCAAAGCAAAAGCAATATCAGAGAAAAAAATTCCAACATGCGTCTCATTTTTTCATCTTATATTTCCTCTACTTAAAAAATCCCAACATGTATTTCATATCTCATTTCTTTTTTCTCTTTGCTCTTATTGATAACTCTACTATGTTAAAATTTCAAAGGGACGGATCTTTGGCCCATCACTAATAACACTGATATTGTCTCCAACTTAACCACATGTTTAGCAGGTAGGTTTTTATACAAAAAGCCTCGATGTTATTAGGAGTGAAACCATTTATTATGTAACACCCCGACTCTGTTTAATTTCCAACGCGAATGGAAAAACTAAATTAAAATATGAAATTACGAAACTACCCTTGGGGTAGGGTCTTTCGGTCATTTTCTTGTCCGGAAGGATTTTGGGACCACAAGTGGTTTGGTTGCGTAGGTGGTTCTGAGATGAATTCGTGGACAGGCGATATGCTTGAATCGGAGTTATACCGAGGTTTTGGCGATGAAATTTCCTTCGGTAGCAAAACCGAAAATAACTCAAAAAGGGTTTTTGTCAAAATAAAATCAGATTTTCTTTTTTATTTTTCTTTCTTTCTTTCTCTCTCTCTCTCTCTCTCTCTCTCTCTCTCTCTCTCCCGTGCGAATTCTCTCCCTCCCGCGAGCACACCTCTTCCGCTCGGTGCAACCACCGATTCCGGCTACGACCGCCCGCGCCACCGTCTCCAAC